GTCATTGTTGTTTGGCGGGTCCAGGCTGGGGATTCGAACCCGCCACCTTAGGTGTACGTGGCTGGCGCCCCAGCTGGTTGAGCCATAGGCGCCGAGCCCCGGCTATGTTTTGTTGTAGTTGTCATTGTTGTTTAGCTGGCCCAAACCAGGTTGGGACCCACTGGCCTTGGTGTATGTAGCTGGCACTGTAACCACTGTGCTATGGCCGCCAAGTCGACAAGTTTCTTGAAGTGTCCAAATCTTTTCTTAAAAATTCATCTCCTGCTGAAAAATTCATTGTGTTTCTAAAAATTAGGCATTTTCCAAACAGTAGATTGTATTACAGTAGGGTTTCATAGTTGGGCGCTGTTGACATTTTGGGCAGATAATTCTTTGCTGCAGGGAGCCGTACCTGCGTTGTGCAGTGTTTCCTCGCATCCCTGGCCTCTACCTACGTGAGGTGTTAGCAGATGAAGCGGGTCCGGCCACCTGTCACTGTCCAGCCAATATGCAGAGGGTTAGGTCCAAATAAGCTTTATTAGACAGAAGGCCAGTGATTCTGGAGAACAGCGAGAGTAGCCTCTCAATTCTGTTCTGCCTCAGACACAATTCCAGTAACTTATAATGAAATACAAGGAAACAGATCCAGAAAACTTTATCTGACAGGAAGTAACATCAAAGTAGTCTCCATTTTGACAATGCAAAATGTTTATACAACAGAAAGGTGATTTTCATTTTAACAAAATATTGAAGAGAATCAACAGAGAAACCTTTACCAATATCACAACACCTATTGTCTAAGTGTGACTACCTCCTCAGAGTCTCCGGAGACTAACATCCTCACAATCATAGAGAAACCCTGGCTGGACAGTCCGGGGGCAGGGGGTGGGGGTGAGAAGGGGAGCCATGCAGACTTCACCAGCCGCACTGCTTCAGTTTAGCTTCTTAGGCTCTGTCTTGCGGACTGCATTTCTGGCTTCAGATGCCAGTAGCACCTTTCCAGATGTGACAGCCCAAAACGTCTAAATGTCTCCTGGGAGCAAAACTGCCTCCAGTAGAGAGCCGCTGTGTACATTAAAGCAGTACCTGCTGACTCTCGAAAAGGGTGGTGGTTACATAACTGACACTTCCATAATTATTTGCTGAATTGGGCGTACGTATTTTACATATTTTTCTGTATACAGTTATATTTCACAACTTTAAAATGTTTTTTTTTTAAATTCCAAGCTGAGATCATATTAAAATCAAACAAGATACACAAATCATTATGTTTTCAGTTTGACAGCAGTAGACATACACACACACACACACACACACACACACGCGCGCGCGCGCGCGTGTGTCAAGATTCGCCTTCCGGGTGGGTAGTGAAGGTCACCTGGAGCTGACGGAGGGATACCCACTGAGGGCTGGACCTGGCCTGGCTGCTAATCCGCACTGTGCAGACCCTGTGCCATTTCACAGTTGAGAAACTGGGGCTTGGAGAAGCTGCCCAGGTCACAAAGCTGGGGAGGGGCACAGTCAGGCTTTGAATCCAGGATTACTCAGACTCCAAGCCCTTTGTACACCAAACTCTGCTTCTCCAATGGGGTCTGGCTTAGTTTATCTCCTGGTGGCCCTGCCTCCTAGCAGAACAGTTAAAGATTTGTCTCCTTTTAAAATGCAAATATGTCACCAGAAGGGATTACCATAAATAAACCTGCCTTTGTTTATCAGATTGGTGTGGACAGCAGCCTTAAGGGAGAGGGATGGAAGGGCAGAGGGCTGGGCGCACTTTCACAGGAGAGCACAGGTCAGGTCCAGGTGGGCCGCCAGGGGCCCTGTAGAAGGTATTGAGCAGTGCAGGGGACAGCCGAGGATCAAGGATGAAGGGCAACTTCTGGATTTGCCTAGGACCTTTGCCAATACCAACTTGTTCCTGCTTGTTCTTGCCAAAAAAATAAAAGAAAAGAAAAAGTCGTCCCTGACACTCACTAGCAGAGAAGAGAGGCTGCTGCTTGCGCAGCTGGGAACCATCAACAAACATTAAGAAAGGGCCGAGCCTAACACTATAGCAGAAACTGGAGCCCGTCCAGGACGGAGCTCATTTTTGGAAGCATTTCAACTCACAGTAGTTAGCCAATCATAGTGGTCATCCAATTAAGAGAACCTGCTCCTGGCTCCACCTGGGGAAATGGAATGTTAGTATAATTTCTTAATGTCTTACTGGGGGGAAAGACACACAAGCGTGGGATGCAGTGCTCGGCAGCGTTTAGGATCCATGGGAGGAGACTAACGCATGTGCAGGGCAGCAAAGGCTGAGTGGCCGGGGGAGAAGCCAGACACCAAAGGGGGTTTGAATTCTGGGGCCTGGGCCGGGTGGCTGGGCTCACACAGGTCACTGCACTTTCCGTGCCTCCTGTTAACTCATCTGCCGAGTGGGGGGACTACCATACTGTAGATTGCACGAGATGAAACGGGCAAAGCACAAGTTGTATGAACTCTTGTTTGTGTATTATCAACAAAATAATAAGTAATAAATAGCATTGCACGCTGCGGGACAGACCCAATAGTCTCTGAAGAGTTGAAAGAGGATGCTCAATGAACAATGGAGGGAACCCCAGGTCATTGGAGCTCCGCATACGCATACGTGTGGAGGGAGGAGAGCTGGCTGGCAAGGGAAGAGGAGTCCTGGGAGTATCCAGGCCAATCTCCTTTCTGGGCCTGGGGCCGTCTTCTCATTCTTTGATCACCTGACTGTTCCCTAAAGTAGCTGAATCCTATGGGCCTTAAATCTAAAACAAGCCCACAGAATTTGATTATAATATTCCAATCCCACTTCACTTGAAACAGGAGGTTACTTATGTAACGCCTCACGGCGAAGGCCCTTCCTGGGCTCTGGAAGGCGACTACTGAGTTGGTACCTTCTGTCCACCCTGGTTGGACCCCGTTGAAAAGCAGGAAAGCCGTTTTATCATCAAGACAGGGGTATTTCCAAGAAGTAAGCTCCTTAAAGGAAAATCCCATTTCATATTTTCTAAGCTGAGGACTCTGAGCAAAATTTTCATGTACGCTTCGATGCATGTTTTCTGATCAAAGACACTATACAAGTTCTACTTCTGAAAACTGTTATAATTAATAATATTAATAATAGTAGTGGCAGTAGTGGGAGCAACTAACACAGTAATGCAGGGTTTCTGATGTGCCAGGCACTATTCTAAGCATTTGTATATATAAATTAACTAACTCACTAAAAATAACTTCCACTTCTTTAATCTGAACAAAACTATTCACATTCCCCTTTACAATCCAGATAGCGACCTCCCTTGCTTAACGTAGTTAACAATTTTTGAACTTCACCATGATCACTGGATTGCTCTCTTCTCATTAGACAAGAGAGGAAAGATGTTATGAGTGATTTTGAATGACTTTTAAAGAAATGTCATACATAGTTGCACTCTGCTCCCTAAATCGTCCCAGGAACTAGTCTCTTGGCCTCCTCCACTGTCACTGCCATCCTCTGAGGATGCTGGCTGCCCCCTCTTCCTAGGCGCCTCCACCCACCTAGCCGGCTTGTCTTAGTCTACACAGCAGGCTACTCGGGCCCTGTACCACCTCCCCCTGGCAGATCTGATTGGCCAGGAGTTTTTAGACCAGATCCCTGGCTGCAGGTAAAAGCACTGAGCATCATTCTTCAAAATTCAATCACCTTTACCCACTGTCACTTGTGGTCTAATCAGGGAAGACTAAAAGTGCTGCTTTTCTCTTTCTAAAAATTGCCTCTGGCCCCTTCCACTTCCAAAATTCTTTGATTCTCATATCCCAATAGGCCCTACCACGGCCCAGATGATGAAGCCTGCAGTGGGGAAGCAGCACTGTGGGCTGCAGGGCAGGAAGAGTTAACACTGTCTTCGTACTTCTTCCCAGCCTTCAGATGGAAAAAGGAGGAGGTGGTTCCTGGCAGCCTCGGTGCCAACTGAAGGATGGCATGCGACATCAACAAATG